GGGGCCTCCCGGTGTCCGGCGCCGGCCGCTCCGGCGGGGCCTGCTACCGCCTCTTTGTCTCGGTGCCGCGCGGCCCCGGAGCCCGGTGCGCTCGGGCCCACCCGGCCCCCTGCCTGCTTGGTGATGGCGCAGAGTCCGGCCGTCCGCGCTCCGGGACTCTAGGAGAGCCGACTCGGAAGTCGAGGTTTGGGCTCGGACGGCAGCCTCGGCTTCCCTGCCAGGAAAAGAGAAGCGCAGCCCAAAAAGTTTTGGCCGCCCTCTCCGCCTTTATTTTCTTTCAGCGTGCCCACAGGCAGGCATCCTGGCTGGGCAGTGGGGACCCGCTTTGCCCCCTCTGCGCTGCTCTGGTGGGGAGATGTGGGCGAGTCCGGGATACGGGGGCGCCTGGCTGTGAAGGAGTGTGCGCGCTGTCCTGGTTACCTCCGCGGGGCTCTAGGGGAGTTCTGGGCAGGACTTGAACTGTGACAGCTGCGGGCGTGGTGGACCAGCCTCCTCGTCGGTGGGCAGTGGCGGTGTTAGTGCTACACTGGACCATCGCCACCCCGTGCTCACCCAAGCTGCGGTGGACACCTCTGCGAATTCGCCCTGACCCACTGGGCAGGTATTTCCTGAACATTTGCGCTGAAATCACCAGCCTGCTAGGCTCTGGGCACTCAGTGGGAAGCAGATAGACTTGGGCCCGCAGCCCTCCATAGATCTTTCCTGACTTTTTCCGTAAAGTGGGCACAGTTACTGCTCTCCTCCGAAAGGTAGATCTGACTATCCCGTTTCCTCCTACCGTACTGTAGTCTCCTCCCTTGTTTTGTTTCTGTTCTTTTGTTTTTGTTTGTTTGTTGTTTTATAGTGCTTAATGCTGTACCATTCTATTGTATATGAATTTGTTTATAATTTGTTTCCACAGTTCCTCATTTCCTTCCATCGTTTAAGGACCAGAGAACAGGGACTTGGTTTTTGACACTGGTGTGGCTCTGTGAGATAATGCATTGGACCCCATGTCAGTGTGAACTAAAAAGGTCCATGGTTCAAACTCACCAGCCACTCCTCTGAAATCCTATACAGGGTGGCTGTGAGTGAGAACCCTCACCCGTAGTGAAGACCTTTAGGGTAAGCACTCAACTGTAGGTGAATTTGAAGCAAGGTCAACAGTTCAAACTCCCCAGCTGCCCATCAGAAACCCTTTACTGTGCTTCTATGAGTCAGACCCAACTTGTCACATTTATCAACAACAACATACCCCCCAGCACTTTGCAGAATGCTAAAATCTCTCCCCCAGGACATAGTATGGTAATGGAAGAAACTGCCAGCTTGGGATTCAAACCAATTCTTGCAGAGCTCAGTGGATTAGCAGTCCGTTCCTTAACCGTTCCTCCTTGTCTCTGATACGGTGCTGTAGGATAAGCACTGGACTGCTAACCACAAGGTTGGCGATTCAATCCCACCAGCTGCTCCTCAGAAACCCTATATAGGGTTAGTTTAAGTCAGGATCAACACGGCAGCACTAACAACATGCTCCATTAGAGTGCTGGCGTGGCACTGTAAAATAAGCAGTGGACTGCTAATCACACGTTGGGTGGTTCATACCTACCAGACGCTCCTCTAAAACCCTATACGGGGTTGCTGTGAGTCAGAACCGATTCATTTGCACTTCACAACAGCAAAAACGTATTCTCCTAGCCAGAACCATGGCTGGCACATAGGAGCCCAGGAGATGTTTGGGGAATGACTGGATGATGACTGAAATGTCCCTTCTGAGTTTCTGACACAGTGGTGTCCCATGATGCTTTCTTCCTCAGGAGTGTCCCAAGAGTTTATGGGAATTTTGATGAAATTTTATCTATGAGTTGGAACTAACCCGCCGCCACTTAGCAGCAAGAAAACAACTTGGTTAAATGTGCTAGTAAACATTTGTGATATTTACTTGGTAGACAAAAGGCTTTGCGTAAAATGCCTGCAAGACTTTAAAAAAGTTATGTTAATCTTTTTCAGTGAAGATAATCTCATTATTGTTGGACTCAGAGCACGTCTATAAGAGTTGACCCTTGAAGCCTTTGTCTTTTCTGGGTACCCAAAAAAATTCGGGGAGGCAGAGAGATGAACCTAGAGTCACTAGGTTTGCAAACCATTTTCACTTTCATTATGGGTTGCTAAGAGAGTGTTTAAATGTCATAGCGAAAGTGGTTTTGGGCACATTTTAGCAGAATTCATCATAGGTGTCAGTTCTCGAAGGTGTGTGTGACAATACTGTTGTTATCTGTTATGCGTTTTCAGTGCCCAAGATGTGTGGTTTAAATTGTGTATTCTGTTGCAACTTAGAAGCAGCATCAAGAGTGTTTCTTTTTAAACAGATAAAAATAGAGGAAGAACACATGCAGGAACACTTACGGAGGAAGAACGCTTTTTTTTTTTTTTTTTAATGTTTTATTGTAGAAGAACGTTTCTTGAGAATGATTAATGATGTCAGCTCATAACAACTTTTCAAGAATATCTGTATATTTTAGGATAAGAATAAGGCCTTGTCAGTGAAGTAACAGATTATAGTATTCCTACTGGTTACTCCAGGAGCTCTGGTAGCGTAGTGGTTACGAATCGGGCTTCGAACCACAAGGTCAGAAGTTCGAAACTACCAGTTGTTCCGCGGGAAAAAGATGAGGATTTCTGTTCCTGTAAAGATTTACAGCCTCGTAAACCCTGTACAGGGTTGCTATGAGTTGGAACCAACTCCATGATAGTTAACAACAATTAGTTACTCATTTTGTTTTCTGAAAGTCAATAATCAAATGGAATTTGTTATTTTCACAGCGTCTAAATCTCTAATTTTGTTGTTGTGATTAAGTGCCGTTGAGTCAGTTCTGACTCATAGCAAACCTATATAGGGTTTCCATGGTGTGACTGCTGGGTTTGAACTGCCAACCTTGTGGTTCGCAATTCCGTGCTGATCTCACAATGCCTTACCAGAAATGACTAGATCAGTGTGAGCATCATACTTTGTTCCAGCATACCCGTTCAAACCTGTGGTCATCCAATCGATTCCAACTGAATTCCTTGCATGAGTTTGCTTTGCCTGATCAGTCAGTCCATAGCTTTTCTTGAACTTTATACCCTTTTCTCTAGGAATCTTACATTTGTTTAGGCTGCCCCAAAGTTATGGACTCATAACTTTGTAGTTTTTTTTCCTAGAGAAACAACATGCTAGAGTACTGAGGCTCTCATGAGAGCCTTCCAGGGTGCCCTTCACTCCAGCATAGCTCGTCTCTGCCACCAATGACATCACTTCTGACTTCCACACGACTTAAAATTCAAATGCCTTTGGCACCTTCCTCCTGGCAGGTCTAACCTGCCAGTCTGCTATGTTATGATAGGCACTTGACCCAACCTCCCCAAGGCTCACTTTCATTGTTTATAGAATGGAGATAATTGTAGGATTTATCGCATAGGCTCACGGCAGTCACATTTGGCAGGGTACACTCTTGCATCAGGTAATGTGCGTGATATGTTCTGTGAAATGCAAAGTTTCATGATTGGGACGTTGTGTGAACACCATATCTTAGTCTGGTCCTCTTTAAGCATCTCAAACAAGCTATGCACCTTAGCAGTGCTTATTAAAACACTGAGAGGGATTCGCTTTTGTGTTTGGTCCTCAATCCCCATGATTAATTTCTCCATATAGGTTCCTCTCACATCTTTGTTAGCCTTGGTGCTTTTAACGGAGCCAGTCCTGTAACAGCCTGGAGAATTTTTTCTTTGTTGTTGAGCATCGGAATGATTGTCCAGTGTGACAGACCTAAATCGCAAGCCAGTAGCGTCTACTGATTTCCCACCTTCGTGTTGTTTAATAACCTTTTGTTTCACTTCCACATTGATACTTCTCCTTTGAATCCTGTTGCTGCCATCTCTAGCACTGGTTTTGCTACATTTGGGATCCTTGATGCACTGTACAGTAATGTCTTCAGAAGGAGATGAAACAGAAATAACACTGCAACACTCAAGAAGCATGAGATACACAAGATGGAATGCTGCTGCTTACGAGTTGAAGCATGCACTGGTATATGGTAGACTTTTTAGATAGTACGGTGCAATACATACATAAGCCAATAACCTCGGTTTTCATTGTGACTAACAAGACATGTGTATTATAAGTCATTTGTGTACTGTACAGGTAACGTAGTCATTCCTTTGTATACAAGGTACATGGCACTTAGCAACAACTATAGCAACTTACATACTTTGTGTATAAGAATTTAAGCAATTGATGGGTATTTTTTAATTGGAGGCAAAAGGGGAAGAGCTTTCTTCCTGTTTTCTGGACCCTTAAAACTCTGCTTTGTCTTGATTCTTGGGGGCCAGTCTTGGTTGTGTCTGACTGCTTTGTTTCCATCTGTGGGGACCCCACTTCCTCTGAGTTTGGCCTATAGCTTAGTCTTCAGGCTTCTTCCCTTCCCCATCTATGCCAGTTGGCTCATCTAGCGTGTATTGTGACGCTGTAGGATGAGCACTGAGCCACAAGGTTGGTTTGAATGGCAAGGTTGGTGGTGATTCACACTCACCAGCCACTGTACTTGGTCATTATGGGACACAATCAACTTGATGGCACTTAATAATAACAACAACAGCAACATCGTCATTTGGGAAGTCATGGTGTGGCACTGTAGGGCAATGCACTGAATCGCAAGGTTGATTTGAACCCACAAGGTCGATGGTTCAAACTCACCTCAACAGGGTCACTATGAGTCTGAACTAACTTGATGGCTCTTAACAACAACAACCACAGCATCTCCATTTGGATAACTGGTACACATGTAGACTCAACCACCTCCTCATCATCCTTCTCAAACTTGCCTCCCTCAGTCTGCCCCATCTCAGATAACCCAACAAACCAGTTGCCGATGCGTTGATTCCAGCCCAAGGTGACTTCATGTGTGTCAGAGGTCAATATGGTTTTCAATGACTATGATCTTTAAGAGGAGATTTCCAGATCTTTCTTTTGAGACACCTCTCGGGAGATTGTTGTTGTTAAGTGCCATTGAGTCAGTTCAAAGCAAAGCACTCAAAGCAACCGAGTGTAGTGTTTCCAAGGAGCAGCTGGTGGGTTTAAACCATTGACCTTGTGGTTAACAGTCCAGTGCTTATCCTATAGCACCACACCAGGTTCCCTAAATGTTATCTTCAGAGTGAGACCTGTGTAAGGTGCTGTTGGATTCTGATGGTGCTGTGATTAGACATTGGGCTGCTAACCTAATAGGTTCAAACCACCCACTCATTCCTTGTGAGAAAGGTGAGACTTTCTGCTCCCATAAAAGTTTACAATCTTGGAACCCCTAAGGAGTGGTTCCATTCTGTCCTGTCGTGTTAGGGTGAGTCAGACAGAATACATTCGGGGGCAGTAGGTTTGAGTTTGATTTTTGGTGCATTCTCTATCCAAGAGTGACTTAACTTTGTCCCATGGAGGTTATAGTGTTCTCAGAGCTCTCATCTGAGTTCTGGACAAATGCACTTTAAATGCCAATCTTGATGATTCAGCTCCTTAGTTAATTTCTTTATTTGCTTCTGTGTCTGCTTACTGTGCTGTGGTTTCCAATACCACCATGGTAGCAGTTTTTCAAA